ATGTATACCTGAGTCGATGACTTTACTTTAGGGAGACGTAAATGACGTCCAGCCGCGAGGCCAAAATCCGGTTCCAGCCACTGTAGTCGTCGGCTACGGTCAGTAACCTTAGATTGATCATACTCTGATAGCCCCTTCTAGGCATGCAACAAGGCCTGCACCTGCTTCCATTGCTGATCTATATTCCTAACCTACTTTGAAACCATCCTATAATAGTAGTTACTCGCCGACTATTAAAGTTAAAGCTGTTACAGCTTGGTATTCGAACCACTATCTCAGTTCTCAGAGCAATTAACATCGTCGCAAAAGGTACGCTACTGACTGCTAAGCCCATGGAAACTTAAATTTTAATTCGTAATCTTAATCTTTACGATGATGTCTCCCATCTATTAACAACAGACACTAACCTGCACAGAGGGACCACAACATCGTTGCCCCTGCGGCTGCCACTCGCAAACGATAACAACAAAAAGTGGCTGGGGCAACAGCACTCGTCGTACTTCGACATTCAGGTTCGCGTCGTATTCATCATCACATGACGTCTGCAAATATTGGCATACATTGGCGCAACCAATAGAACCCAGCGCTTCACCCTCAGGATGCAGCATCGTCGCAAGGGTGTTACTTCTATCGTTTGCAACGGCAATAGTAAATCATCCACCGACAACATGCCGTCGTCTTAGTGGCCTTATTAGTGTTTTTTATGCTCACCGCGGCCTGCCAGGTCGACATTCCCTACGGTTTCATCCAAAACAGCAGCGTCTTCTAATTCAATGACGCTTGGCGAGCAGCAGGCGACATTTATCATGCAGTTGACACACCCTCCATAGCGGTCTGTGATGACTCGTGCCAATATCATCATTATAAGTGTTGACTCGTCGTAGTGCGATCGATCGCGCTCGAAAATGATGGACCCAGCGTTGTTTGTAGATTTAGCGGATTCTGGGCGGTCTATCTTATTCCTTTGTAACTGGCGATAAATTGGCAGCGATGGCTGCTTCTGGCTAAACGTGTTCTGCCTTTGGGACTGGAGAAAAGAGAGGAAATAAGCGACGTTTTCAATGTATTATTGTCTGGTGCGTATTAGTGCCACGCAATAAAACACATCCACCCGTTCGAAGCGCTGGATAGCACTTCACTTTGCTCTGCCACCTTGGGGGTCATGTTTGTCTAAGGCTGCCTGCCTAGCACAAGAAGCCAGAACGAGCGGTGGACGCTTGGCATCTATTCACCGGTCCTATTAGGCTGAAAAAATAAATGCTGTCGTCGCTTACTGACTCAACATGATTTGCCACTAGGACAAACAGGGACGACAAGAAGTGGTCGTGCAGGTTGGGGTGAAGAATTCGGCCTGTCGCGGCGAAGACTACGCGACGCCGGTGGTGATAACATAAATGAGATAGATCAAGACAGGTTACTGACTTCACCTCACCTCAGCTGAGACGATATCAACGCGTCCAGTAGCACCAGCCACACATGCACATCGTCTTCAAAAATAAGAAAAAGAAATTTCGCAAACACGGAAACGTCTCCCACTTATAGGCATTTTAAGGCAGACCTAGGATCCCTCTCCGATTGCTGTATATATATATTGACGCGTACATACCAACGGCAAAAATACTGAAAGGTAGTGTTAATTTGAGACGATGGATTAAATGTCGACGCACGAAGCATTAAAAAAGAAACAAACGGAAGATCTTCGACACAGCGAGGGCAGCAAAAATATTCGCGATAAGAGTGATTTTGGTGGCTGTAAATCTGGGACCGCTACGAAATCTGCGGTGCGACACTTACTACAAATCACAGTTCGGAGCGGCGGCCATAGGGGTCTGAGGACGACGGCGTCGGCGGATGCAGCAAATCCAGGCAGGCAGGCAGGCAGGAAGGCAGGCAAAGATAGTCAAAGATGATCCACCTCGGGCGTCCACCATGTCTTTAGGGCCCGAAGTGGCTAACGAGCCAAAACAGAAGGAAAACTAATAAAAGACATCGAGCGGAAAGCCTAGATGTAGGAGATCTCAAGGTTGTTTGAATATTCGCTGTGACATTCGCAGTAGCTGCAATAGTTATAGGGACAAGTCGATAGCCACCAAATAGTGCACTGGCGTATCCGCTCCATGTGTTTACTTATCTGTGGTATCTTAACTTGGCGACGACTAAATACAGTGCCATAATAACAACAACAACGATGATGATGATGATAACAACAAGAAAAACACAACAACAACAACAACAACTGTACACTGGTTGCTGGACCACACAGAGAAGTCTTACATGTTGTTCAGAGACAGCCAGCCATAGTGACGAGAATGGGGAAGATTTTTGTCAACACTTGAGGCATTATGCGGCGCCGGTAACAGCGCCTGCCGCGGTTGTTGTTGTTGTTGTTGTTGTTGCTGTTCTTGGGTTATACAATACAACAAATAATAAGTGGGAGACAACAGCCAGTCTTCCTTTCATTGTACTACTGCGTCTTTGGAGCGGAAAGGAATGGGAGAGAAGACACCGAATACCAGTCAAAAGGGCGCAATCCGCATGAGACAAAAGAGTTACTGTGTTCGCCCGGTTCCACTGTGACTATGGTTTTTTTCTGGTTACCTTGATGAACATGCAACAACCCCAAGGAGGATGCTATCGATTGATAGTCCATAGGCCATATTCTTCAGTTAATACCGTCACATACTGCTGCTTTTGTGCTGTCTGAAGTGGTGTGCCGAAGATCTATCGAAGGTCTGCATGCGAAGATGCGAAACTCAGTTAGTCTACATGACCGACCGGCCGGCCGGCCGGCCGCCTGCCTACTGCAAACCTGCTCGCCTGCCTGGCCACCTAAACCTAGCTGGTTCTGGTTGCAGTGACGGTAGCGGCCGCAGTAGCTCATCATATGGCGACGAAGTGTTATGCCATCTACCCGCTTCGGTAAGCAGTAGTAATAACAGTTGTCGTAACTGTATACATTGGCAGCAAAATGATGTGTCTAGTTGCCTGTTTGTCTGTGGTTCGCCTACGTGTTGACGCTCGGTAGTCGGCAGGCGAAATTCGCCTCTGTGAAGGGGGCTGTAAAGGCGCGTCGATAAAACGAGGAAAGAAGACGGCGGCCCCGACGTCTCGCTGCTGCCGCCTGCGACGCGGCCAAGTCCATCCGCAGCGGTACCACTACTAGTTCTACTCTTAAACCGGCAACAAGCGCTGCCAAGTTCAATGTTCGTTGTGAAGTAAACAGAATCAATGGTGGATGGGTAGATGGATGGCTCGTTTCGTGCCGCTTGTAGCGTTCGAGAGAAACCAAGACGCGAGATAGTGATGAGTGTGATGGTAGAGTAGCTCCGACTCCGGTATGGCTTGTCCGGCTATATTGCCACATTACTACTGCATTTTATACTTACTTATACTATCGCTATTTTGTCAGAGACAACGACCACTGTGGTTCCGTAATATGCGGTAGCATGGCCCTCGGCAAGCCAAAGCAAATCATAGTTAGTAGTATAGTCGGTTAACGCCAGAGTAGGGAACTCCGTTCAAAAAAAGCGTCGTTTTGATGGCCATTTTATCCACCGATACTTATTGCTACCGACGGTCATGGCAGTCCGACAACGGTACGGCAATCAATGCAGGTCCAGCTTCGTGCACTGCCACTATTGTGGATCGTCGGATTACAATAGGAATCATAAGAAAAGCCACCGAACGCAATGTTACTTACAGCGATTAAGCATATTAAATATTTCTCACGACGCTTGTTAAAAGAATAAGTATCAGAATAATTAAATGACCACTTTCGAACACTTAAAAAATTAGTAAAACATTTTGCCTTTACATGGGAGTTTTGATTTGAAAAATGGCGACCTACCGCGCACATTTATTGCGCTAGCAGCGTCGCGAGCATAAACAGCTAAATTATCAACTAAAAACTAAAATTGTTTCCGTACAAATAACTATCGCTGCCATTAGAGTAAGTGGACTTCCCCTTGACTTAAACGAAAATTACGAAACCTTACTGGGGGTTCTGACATCTTGTAGATGCAAAAAACATCCTCAAGGTTTTAGGTTATGTATTTTATACATTTCCTTTTCCAAAGCAATTTCAAATGTCAACAAATGAGCGAAATAAAGATCTATTTAAATTTAAAGTCCTAACTAGACCTTTTTTAGACGAGAACAAATTGCGGCTAATAGAGTTTTTCATTTTCTTTACTACTAAACACGGCCATAACAAAGAGTCTATCTTAGCAACACCTGTGTCACTCTAACCTTTAAACAGAAGCGTCGAAACTTCCCTTAAACGTAATAAGTTAAGATAGACGAATTTTATCAGAATAGCGCACACAATTCCAGCTAAAGTTGAATTGCCCATTGGGCCAAATACTCGACGTACGTATCTCCAACGATGAGGAAAATATTCGACACTTTCTGTGCCACGTAAGACAACGCTGATAATTACATCGTACTCCAGCAATTCTACGAAGTTTGTGCTCTTTTTTTTTTTCGATTCGAATAAACAATTATCTGTTTGGGAAGCGACAAGATGGGTCCGCGCGGAGCTCCAGTCAAGCGCTCAAGGGAGCAACACCGGCGTCTACCTGAACCGGCAAATCGTTGCTTTCCCACAACGTTCTGGCACAACAATATTCTAAAGATAGACTGAAATCGAACTATCAACACATTAATTATGACAACCTTTAAGTCGGCTTGGTAGCAGGTCAGGGTTTCAATAAAGATATAAACTAGATCGAAATCGGCAGGGCTTGTCATTGGCTATCGATTTACAGTTCTGGGCTGGGGAAAAAGAAAAGGACAGATCTTTCCACACGGCATAACCTGGGCGTAGGTGTTTCATCAATCTTCGCAGTAAATATTGCTTATTCCAAAGAAAAAATCAAAATTGAAGAACGTGCTCTGTGACTACCGGAGATCCGTAATATTGGTTTTTTGGTCGCTTGTTGATATGTTTGTCATATTTGCCAGTCAGCCACAGATAGGTTATGCAGCTACGTAAGACTCACCTGCGATGCTTTGCCCCATGAAGGCGGCAATCACGGTCAGGCTCGCGACCCACCGGCTAGCACTAATTCGATAAGCCATATTTTGTCTTGCTTTTAGCCACAGAGGGTTAAGAAATGCACCACTATCCACGGAAGGAAATAACAACAGCTGAGTTCGTTTAGTTAGTGCGTTTTTCTTTTGATGAAGTGCTGTTGTTGGCAAAATGTTGCTTCGTTTAAAAGAATCAACTCGGGTCAGGGCCGTCGCAGAAGCCTGGAACTCCGGTATGGGGAGAACAAGAGCGCCTGGAGTTACCAATAAAGGTACGCTCAAAAACGACAGGGAAACACCGAAGTCCAAAGCATGCACTGGAGCACTAATAGTAATGCACTGAGTAGGAGCCCGGAGACCAGTCAGTCCACAGTGGGCGACAGAACTACTTCTGGGCACAGAAGACCCGGGCGCCGGCATATGGTTCGGGGAAAGGGCGGCTGTTCCTGCCCTTGCCGATCTTACTCCTCCACCGAGCGTCAAAAGCCCAGAGGACAGAAAATGGAACGATCAGAGACAAAAAACAGAAGGCGGCGAAGACCCAACGAGAGTGGACCTGGCGTTATAGGCGTCACTTCAGCGTTGGTTTCGACGGCCTCTGTGTTTTCTGCCGGTAGACGGTACAACCGGTCACGGCGGCAGTACCAGTGGCAGCTGCTTTCGTGCACAACTCAAAGCAACGGTATCCTCCTTCCCGTCTTCCCCCGGCAAACGGCACCGCTGCGACGACGACGATGACCATCGGTGAAGAAGAGGGAGCCAGTATGCTTCTGCTGCTGTTGCCAGTAGGTCTGAGCCTGCTGCTCAGAAGTGATCCTCTAGATCCATGCGCGTAGCGTTGTTGTAGCTGGTGCTGCCACTGCTACATCTTCATCAGACTGAGAACAAAGTCCCACTAATGCAGAAGGCGGTTCACATCCACTACATAATAGAGAATCACCTAAGTCGAACTATAGTGGCAAGTCCGTCGGGCTGGGCTAGTGGGTGATACGGGCCTTGAGAGCTCACTAGTGAAAAAGAGCAAATTAACTTCAAGGTAAATTTGCTAAGTTACACTGATACACCATAGCAAATCATCATTTTCGATATCGCCAGCGGCAACAACAGCAGCAGCTGCTACACAGACAACCGTCATATGGAAGTACGATGGATGGATTGATGCATTGAACAACATGGGCACCTGCCCGTTATGTTCTTCTAACGATTGCTACTAAACTGTAGCACGGTACCGATGGTTCAATTCGGTCACAATAAATAATCGTTTTAATTATAGGATAACATCGTAAAGGTGATTAATTCGAGAGTGTCGAGCTGACCGGGGAAGCGGGGCAGAAAAAGGCAGGAAAAAAGTTAAGTTTCAAAATATTGTATTGTAGCATCGATCCTCAACATGACAGTCCTTCTTCAAGTTTGTAAAGCAGCCATAAAAGGCCAAGTCTTTGTTTGTTCCTTTTTGTGCAGTTGATACATGATGAACATGAACAGTGCGGCGGAGGCTTGTTCCACATCGCCCACTCCCATACGGACGCCGGGTTGTTATAGGAGCAATGATGAACAAAGGATTTTCGGCGGGGAAAATTCTGCAACCTACTCTGTCATCCGCTTACGTCTACGGCAAAATGGCATAGTACTATATCTATGATTGCGAACGCTCCAGAGCTTAATTCTATGAAACTCATAGGGGATTCGTCGTAGGCATTTTTCAGTTTAATGTTACTCACCGCTTGAAGATGGTATCTTCCATGTCTAGTTGTCATCTATGTGTTGATTAATGTTCTCTGTATGATATATTCTAGATGTTACATACGCGGGCAAAGCTAATGGCTTTCTACTTCGTTTCCATTAGCTGTTTATAGGTTCTCTCAACTGGACTACGACAAATATACGATGGCGCATTGATTTTAGGTTAATTAGATATATAAACGCAATCTAGCGGCAAGCACTAAACAGTGAAATAGTAAGATACTTTAGGATTTATGGCCAGTATACACTAGAATGACTATATTTTGACATAAAAAGCCTTCACTACGTATTTAAATATGAACTTACTCTAAAAATTCAATTATCTATTTTATATAATAAAGATTACAATCTATAATTCTATATGTTTATTCTATGTTGGAGGCTATATTTTTCCAAACGAAAGATTACCAATTGCTCGCAAAGCGCCCAACTCAACCTCTTCTCAATACCGATCTCAGCCATTATCGCTGATATAACGTAAATACAATTCATTTTCTACGTGGAAATCGTACGCTTCTGACCTTTTGTTTGCTTGCCAGGTTGTCGATTTCTGTCAGCAGATGTGACGAGCGCACCCACTTACCATGTACTACAATCCAACATATACACGAAGGTGGTGAATAGATCGACCGTTATAAATTAATGTGTTGTACGTATAAATGACATCACTCATCGGTTCGTTAGTCGAAAATAATTAACCCTACAACAAGATATAAACGTTTTCTTTAAAGTAAAGAACCCCCGGAGGTAAAACTGTCGACAGTCTGCTCGATCATTCTGCCGTAACTAACGGCGTCACCTTCGTAGAATTAGTTGCGACACTTTCTCATTCTATCAGTGCACCATAGACCCTTAATAGGACAAAATGGAAGAACGATTAATTAAGTCCACTCTAATTATTTGGGACACGGCCCATACTGGCTTTAACTACAGTAACTACTGACAGTAATATATGCGGACGAGTCGGTCTCTATACACTGAAGACGTTGGTTAAAGTGCCGCCCAATAACCTGATGCCAAAGTACGGTGTCAGCAATAAGCTCCTTCAAATCTCCTAGCAGTCACTTTTATAATGGAAAACTTTTTCTATAGGGTACACGTTTTTGCGTTTGACGGCCAGCTGTTGTCGCCTGAACAGAGTCGTGTTAAGTAGCCGATGCTGAACGGGCGCCAGGGCTTTCGTTGCCGGCACCGGTCACTGAATGGTTTTCGTCATCCGTTGCACTATTCCGGGTCGACAAGCGCACACGGATCGCTCATCGACCGCCGAAGACGTAATAGGATATTGCTGTCACAGATCAACTTCTAATCACAGACAAATTTGCGGTCAACTGTTGAGGTGATAGCTACTGACAATAACTAGACTTCTGGCTCATAATCGCTTGTGGTTCAACAATTTTTTCTCCTTTTTTCCATCTCTGTACCCCGCTACGTTACCCCCTGGGTTGACTAAATGTGTCGCGAAGTTTGCAACGGCGCACACAATCGGTTTGAAATGAAATGAGCAGAAGATGCATCAAAGATCGCTTGTCGTACAAGTTCGGTTGCTGAAAGGAAAAAGTCAATCGTCACCGTCACAGCCACCGCCCCCGTTAGTATCGCTGCGACCTTATTGAGTCGATGAGAGCGAAATCATTAGGTTTTGATGGTACTTCATTGATCGGCGCATTACTTAGGTCAACGGTCACTGGCCGACGTTATCAAACTGAGGAGCGTTCCACGTTAACAGCATCTTAGTTAGCTTATTCAGTAAAGTCAATAAGGAGTAGGGAGTTGCTTCGCTCAGCCGATGAAATACGCGTCCGCGTCTACGTTCGGCGTGTGAAGAATAAATGGAATATATCGGTATCGTTGAAATATACTTTCTACTGTTGACCCGATACGCTGCTTAAGAGAAGTGATGCGCAGTCCCACGGAGTACGGTAGAAAATCATATGAACGATTATCGATCTCTACAGGGAACAAATCCCTTGCCTGATTCGGCCGATTTTTCCGTAACACTTCGATAGGCTTACAAAACAACAATTGACGACGATTATAGTGATACCGATACTAATACTGTTCAAACAAATAAAGCCTTTAGAATGACTATGCCAGTCGTACCTGCCGATGTGCCCCTGCGTAACGACTAGTTATCATGGCTTGTTCCAGAAAAAGCATTCAACACTTCGAAGCACAAAATTCATGTAGACATAAAGATATTCTGCCCCCTTTAATTTGGTTCCTATAGCTTCTCGAAGCATACTCTTACCTGTTCGCCCCTCTGAGCACGTACATGTCGATTGATATGAGTTCGTTTGTCAATTTAGTACGCTGCCGTCAAACTCATCGTCTGAGTAAATAACGTCAGTTGGCAGTCTTAGAACGCTTATCACGTTCGATGCAGAACGATGGAAGATAAACCTAAGATACATTCACCTTAAAAGATCGATTGATATTTCTATGTGGAGACATCAGCATGTCTCGTTATGGGTAACTTCTGTAGGAATTGATGTGACTCTGCCCTAGATCTTCCACGTCGCCTCTCTTCTAACTGGTCTGATCGGCGTTTGTTAATAGCGCTCATTTTCTTCGTCAAGATGTAATCTAAGCTATTGTACAAGAATGTATCGCCCTGAGTCGTTATGGCTGTTGTCGTCGTGCTTGTGATCGTGCTTATTTCAGCTGTACCTCAGTTGTGTTCGTTCTTATTTGGTCAAAAGGCGATGACATATGGAAGGGATATCTGTCATTAATTCTTTGAGGTATCGTCGCCAGCTGCCGGCGTCACTGATGACAGGAGCCGCTGATAGAGTCGGTTAGTCTATTTGGTTCCTTGTAATGACCACTGGCAGTTACCATGATTTTCGCTACCACAGTATACGTGCTGCGCTATGATAATCTGTAATACGTAATGGACAATCAATGGAATAGCGCTAACGGCAAAACTCATTCGTTATATTCGAATTTTTTTTTCTTATGTGTCCCTATTGCTAATAGCGTTACATTCGCCGCGAGAATCTCTCCGGCAGTGATTAACTTTAGTCTCAGTCAGTGTGAGTTAGCCCCCTGCAGTGGAGCGGGTCGGCTCCTCATCGTGAGTGATTTCTCGTCCGGTTTCGAGCTTCAAATACTCGGTCGTATGTTGTGGTAGTCGACGGCGTCACTGTTATCACTGAGTTATGGCCTAACAGCACGATAAGTAGGTCCTGGAATCAGTCGAAACAAAAGGGGACCAATTCCAGAAATTAATATAGGACACACAAACGGCAAGACATCTGTTCCAAGCCCCTTAATAAGTCGTGCGACAACCTAACTACGCTATTTTTGTACTGTCAGGTGCAAGCCCGTCCAGTGCAGACCGTATTAATGTTGCACGTGCACGTTTAAAGCTGCGATAGAATTTTCTATTCCGGTCATAGCAAACCGTGTTACGAATACAGTCGAAAAAGTCCTTATGTTTCAGTAGGGCACTTTGAAAACCGAGAAGACCAAACACTTATGAACTTCTCGCCGCCGTGTACACAGGCAATCAGCAAGAACATAATCTATTGAGTGAATTTGGTTTTACCTTTAGCTACGCCCTTTTGTCATCTTCAATTCCCAAATTCAGTAACGGCGATCCTTGCAACGAAGCTGCTCCAAATCGTATCTCTAAGAAGCACTCCAGATCAGTAGTAATCGATAAGCTGATTCTGT